CTGCATCTAACATGGTGCCTAACACAGTGCTGGGCATACAGTAGGTGCTCAATATTTGTTGATTGAATGAAGGCGTGGCAGGAACATCAGTGGGAGGTGTTCACAGGGAGGAGAAGTAATTTCTGAATGAATCTTCTTGGAGGAAGTCTTCACTGTGAGTTAAGAATTAAATGCAGGGGCCGGCCCCGTGGCTGAGTGCTTAAGTTCTCGCGCTCCACTTCGCCGGCCCAGGGTTTCACCGGTTCGGAGCCTGGGTGCAGACATGGCACCACTCATCAAGCCATGCTGAGGTGGCATCCACATGCCACAACCAGAAGGACCCACAACTAAAAATACACAACTATGTACCGGGGGGATTTGGGGAGAAAAAGGGAAAAAAAATCTTAAAAAAACAAAAATTAGAAATCATGTTAGATGCAAAAATACATTTTAAAAAAAAAGAAAAAAGAATTAAATGCGTTTCTCTCTGGCTCGCTTCTCCTCCCTTTGCCTGGTTTTGAAGCAGAGATTGGACTTTCGATTTCTTCATTCCGAGAGCAGAGGGCTCTCTGCTTCCCCACCGCACTCCCTCTCTTGGTGGTGGTGAGGCCGTGGGGAGGGTCCAGATGCACAGCTGGCAATGCCCTGGGCTGGAGCCATGAAACCTCTGGGTTCCAGCACTAGGCTTCCCATTCACACGCGCTCCACTTGCCTCGTTGCCTTCAGCATCCCAACCCTGCAATCCTTCTTCCACGTGGTGAGTAAGCTGATTTTGTTAAAACCTCAGCATCGAAAGTCTTCCAATGGCTTCCCATTTTCTTTAGGACAGTGTCTAAAGCCTAGACATGGCTGACAGCGTTCTCGGAATGGAGCCTCTGCCTCCCACTTCAGCCCCATCTCCTGCTCTGTGCCCTGCCTTTCACCGCCTAAGCTCCAGCGGTACTGCATCATCTTCAATTTCTAGAAAACACCAAGCAATTTCCTGCCTGGGACTTTGTTCATATAGCCTCCTCTGCCTTGAACACCTTGCTCCACTCCCCATCACAGCCCTCCTTCCCCCGCCCCACCCCCAACTCGGCACACCCCCCTCTGCCTTCCATGTATTACATCTTCTGGAAAATCTTGCCTGACACATCTGTAGACCTGGTCCCTCCCTCCTTCATTTCTGCCTCTCAGACTTCTATTATGGCACATGAAATACTGTTTGAGAGTATTTGTTTATGTGACACAGTGGTTCAGATCAGGGATTCTGAATCCCAGCTGTGCTACTGCTTTCTGTAGCTGACAGCCCCTCCTTCACAACGTGTGAACTAAATAGGCTAAAAACACCTGGAACATTGCTGGCACACAGGTGAGTGATCATTAAAAGTTAGCTATTGTTTTCTTTTCTCTTCTTCCTCCCTTCTCAACATGCTTCCTTACTTGCCTTTGCTGCTAGGAAGCTCTGAGAATACGCTAGTGGTTGTCAAAACATCTATAATCTCCTCCTTTGGAGAGTTTTTTATCCAGTTAGGGGGATAGACATTAAATCACTAATTTCACCACTACAGTTGCAGTGAACTTCCGTGTTGATGGGCACCGTGAATAAGGAGGGTATGTACTAGGAAAGCACATAACTTGAAGTTAACCTGCATGAGGGGTAGGCAGAATAATGGGCTCCCAAAGATGTCCACATCCTGATTCCCAGAACCTGTGAATGTGTTACTTGATGTGGCGAAAGGGATTTTGTAGATGTGATTAAATTAAGGGTCTTGAGATGGGGAGATTATTCTGGATTCTCCAGCTGGGCCCAATGGAATCAGAAGAGTCCTTCTAAGTGAAGGAGGGAGGCAGGAGAATCAGAGTCAGAGTGATGCATCGTGGGAAACACTTGACTGTCCATTGCTAGCTTTGAAGATGGAGGGAGGGGCCATGAGTGGAGGAATGCTGGCCTCTAGAAGCTGGAAATGGCCGAGAAGTGGATTCTCCAGAGGGAACACAGCCGTGCTGACACCTTGATTTTAGCCTGGTAAGACCCATTTCAGACTTCTGACCTCCAAACTGTAAGATAGTAAGTTTGTGTTGTTTTAAGCTGCCGAGTTTGTGGTCATTTGTTACAGCAGCCACAGGAAACTAATACAGGTGGTCAGCTGAACACATTTTGGGAAGAAAGGAGAGAGGAAGGGAGGGGCGAAGAGAAGAATTTAAACCAAGGGAGGTTGAACCAGTTAAAGGAGGTGGCCTCTAGGGTCTATCAGCCTCTGATGCTGTTCACGGAAGGAAAGCCTTCAAAGTCAATATTAACTAAGGGGGGTGTCTTGGCCTCTGTGTTATTACTTGTGCTGGTTTATTGCAAGTCACCTTTAGCCTTCATTTTAAAACACTCAAAGTCAGACACACTGCTGGCCCCAGAGCCCCTGCAAACATATGGAATGGAGATCCCCGTGGACACGATGGAAACATTTTAAATGTAGGTTAATATTTTAATATGAGCCTGTCTCCAGCACAGTAATCCTCCATGCCGTGTAGCAGACCATGGCAGAAACTGTGATTGGTTTGGTGGGACTGCCCAGTCACCTCTGTACACAGAGGTGGCCCGTCTGTGTTCTGCACTGCCTGGCAGTGGTTCAGACAAGAGAGATCCAGGCTGAACTTGGTTGCGGGGCAGTCAGAATTCAGGCAACAGAAACTCCAGTAACTGGAAACTATCGTCAAGGGTGGCCGACGTCGCTCTCTTCCTCGGGGGCGGCAGGCCTGCCTGACTTTTCCTCTGTCCAGTGCCACCCTGGAACCCTCAGGGTGGGTAGTCTCTCTTCTTTCCTGAGGGTCACGGTCCTGCCCAGCGCCTGAGCCCTGAGCTGCAGACCTACTTCCCACTGTCTGGAAGGGGACCGTAACGGCCATCCTTACTGCATCGTATTCTTGCTGCTGCCCTGCGTCCAGCCTCCGTTCCCAGGAGGCCTTGTCCCCACCCTAGGAGTTAGCAAATAGAAGAGAAATGCTTCGACAACAATAGCGGAAAGAGCGTGTTGTGCTGGAAGCTTCCATTTAGCTCTGCAAACCCACTTTCCATCCTGCTCTCTGCCCCAGAAGGCTGGATCACGTGGACCATATCTATGAGTTTGGCCATTTTGGAGCTTGGCTGGCGAGGAAGGCAAGAAAGTAGGGAGGGGTATTTATTTCCCTGGCCCCCTTCCTGCAGCTTCACTGCCGCCTGGCTGATCTCCAAAGGCCACGCTTTTAGTCAAGCAGCTCTCTACCCACAGGCTGTTCTCTTTGGGTTCCTGCTAACTGCTCCCTGGCAGCCCCGGGGGCAGAGGGCGGTGGGTAATGGCTCCCCATGGTTTCTAGCCCCAGCATACTGCACCCTCTTATGTTGCCTCACACCCAGCCCACATCTCTACAAATGGTCCTTTTATTAGACTCACCTCAAATTACCAAATTTGAGCGTGCTGTGTATTTCCTGCTAGCACCTGAACTGATAAAGAGGAACTTGTCACAGACACCCCATCCAGTGTTTTCTTGCAAGTTCCTGGTTCTCATGTCTTATACAACAGAACGTTTTCCTATAGTATTATAGGCGACACCAGCATCCTATAGTATTATAACATGAGTTAAGTTATAGGATCATTTTGAGACTAATCAGAGTTTAAGGAAAAGGAATTGAAGATTTTAAGTGTAGACATTATGAGGTCTTTAAAAGCCAGAAATTATTACAGATTTTTAAATTAGAAATGAAAAGGCCACTGAAGCATCCTACAGATTTTAATTTCTAATAAATATCACTCTCTAATATCCCACATAAGTGAAAAGCCCTTTGGAGTCCTTTTTTATTATTATTGAGGTTATAATAGTTTACAAACTTGTGAAATTTCAGTTGTACATTACTATTTGTCAGTCATCTTATAGGTGCACCTCTTCACCCTTTGTGCCTACCCCCCACTCCCCTTCCTCCTGATAACCACTGATCTGTTCTCCTTGTCCATGTGTTTGTTTATCTTCCACATGAGTGGAGTCATACAGAGATTGTCTGTCTGGCTTATTTCACTTAACCTAATACCGTCAAGGTCCATCTGTGTTCTTGTAATGGGATGATTTTATTCTTTTTTATGGCTGAGTAGTATTCCATTGTGTATATATACCACATCTTCTTTATCCACTCATCAGTTGATGGGCGCTTGGGTTGCTTCCACGTCTAGGCTATTGTGAATAATGCTGCAATGAACATAGGGGTGCCTGGGTCTCTCTGAACTGCTGATTTCAAGTTCTTTGGATAGATACCCAGTAGTGGGATGGCTGGGTCATATGGTATTTCTAGTTTTAATTTTTTGAGAAATTTCCATACTGTTTTCCATAGTGGCTGCACCAGTTTGCATTCCCACCAGTAGTGTATGAGGGTTTCCTTTTCTCCACATCCTCTCCAACATTTGTTCTTTTTTGTTTTGGTTATTTTTGCCATTCTAACGAGTGTAACGTGATATCTTAATGTAGTTTTGATTTGCATTTCCCTGATGATCAGAGATGATGAGCATCTTTTCATGTGCCTATCGGCCATCTGTATATCTTCTTTGGAGAAATGTCTGTTTATATCCTCTGCCCATTTTTTGATCAGGTTGTTTGATTTGTTGTTGTCGAGTTGTGTGAGCTCTTTATATAGTATGGAGATTAACCCTTTGTCTGGGGTCCTTTTTTTAAGACTAAAGGGGTATTGAGACCAAAAAGTGAGAAAATCACTGTGGTTTCTCCTCAGTCATGGTTGGCACATTTCTTGCTTTGCCCTCCTAGTGAGCCACTGTAATGAAATTGCAAAATACCTATAAAGTCTCTGGCCAGGCCTAGGTTTTTGGTTCTTATAACCCAGGAAGCTAACTTTTGGTGACCTGTAGCTGGACCACAGCCAGCTTGTTTGCTCACCACCCCCCATTTTGTTTATTTTTTCTTTTTTATCTACTCTTTTTTTTGTTATTATTTTTATTTCCTATTTTTTCTTATTATTTTTTATTTTTCTTTGTTCTCCTTTCTCATTTTTAAAATTCTTTTTGTCTTTTTCTCATTTTTCCTTTCTTTTTCTCACTTTTTTATTTTTTCTTTTTCTCAATTTCCCTTTGTACTTTTCTCATTTTTTCTTTGTTCTCTTTCTCATTTTCTTTAATTTTTAAATTTAGTATTGTTAGGACAGTTAGTATTGTTGGTATAGTTAGTAGTTAGCATGTTTAGTCAGTATTATTTATTTGCATAGTTAGTAAGCATAGGTGGCATTGTTAGTATCATTAGTTACTAGTAGTTAGCATACTATAGTTTTGTTTGTTAGCGTAGTTAGTAAGCATAGTTAGCATTGTTAGTATTGTCAGTTAATGTAGTTAGCAGGTCACCATGCTTCTGGGCCTTGCAGCCACCTCTGCCAACAAGAAGACCTGTGTTAACAATTATGAGCTCCTCAAGACCATTGGAAAGGGTATCTTCTCCAGCGCGAAGTTGGCCTGGCACATCCCAACCGTGACAGAGGTGGCTGTTAAAGTCATTCGCAAGACTTGACACAGCCTCACCAGAATCAGGGAACTTTTCCGTGAAGTCCACAGCCTGAAGGCCTTGAGTCACCCCCATATTGTAAGGTTGTTTGAGGTGATTGACACGGAGGAAACATTGTTCTTCGTCCTGGAGGACGTTAGTGGAGGAGACACACTCAATTACTTATGAAACCACGGCGGCGTGCTGGAGGAAGAGGCCCAAGGAAAATTCCGGCAGCTCGGCTCGGCTCTCCGATACTGCCACCACAGAGGCATTGTCCACAGGGGCCTGAGCCTGGAGAACCTGCCTCTGGATGCTGAACTGAATGTGAAGCTGGCGGACTTCAGCCTCAGCAACGTGTTCGTCGGGTGCAAGCTGAGCGCGTACTGCAGTGGCCTGGTTATACTGCCTGGAGACCTTCCAGGGCCCAGGCTATACAGTCCCCCGGCTGATATCTGGAACCTTGGCGTTATTCTTTACGTTATAGTCACTGGGTCCCACCTATCCTGGGAGAGGACATCTGCACAGTGCAGCAGCTGGTGCTGAGCCAGCGATACCCGCTTCCCATGTTCCTTTCACTGGAATGCAGAAGGCTCTTGAAAGAACTGATGACCCTTGACCCCAGCAAGAAAAGGAGTTTAAAAGATGTCCTGGAGGACCTGTGGGTCAATATGGGCCAGGAGAGACTCAGGCCTTACCAGGAGCTGCCCTGTGACAACAGGGACTCCTGGGTGACACAGGTAATGATGAACATGGGCTTTGAGTGGGACAAGATCCAGGATTCCTTAACAAGAAGGAGGTATGACGATGTTACGTCCACGTGCCTGATGCTTAGTTCCAAGAAACCCCGGGTGGAGGGTCACACCGTCACTGTAAGGTCATTGACCCCAACAGCTGCAGCTCTTCCCAGACCTGCACGGTGCATCTGAAGGCCTTTGCACTCCCAGGAAGACGTGATCACAGCGAACATGGTTTTCGCATCTGGCTCTGCAAGGCAGAAAATCAGCAGCCTGGGGAGAAACAGGGGTCAGGGCCAAAGGCCAAAGAGCCTGCCAGTACCCCGGCCAGCCTGGAGTCGAGAACTGCCACCCCCAGCCCAACCCTCCAGAACGGCCCTGGGGCCTTCCCCTCCACCCACAGCACCAGCAACAGTAGTGGCGGCCCAGCGGAAAGCAACTGCCCCCAGGGTGTGTCCTGCAGTGGAACCTTCCTGCACGCTGGGCAGCGTGCTGGGGCGACCCCAGCCTCTCCCTCTGGCCCCAGCCAGGGCCCAAGGAGGTCCGCTGGTAGATTCTTAAACTTTATAAGACGCTTCTGTTTCTGTGTGCCCAGCAAGAACCGGCATGGCAAACACAATAGAGTGAAGCCAATTTGATCTCATGGCAGGGTCCAAATCAAAGATGGTGGGGAGGTCAAGCCAAACCCCTGCGTTTTAAATGGAGAGCAAGATGCCGAGCTCCACAGGCTGGCACAGTGGCGAGGGAGTTTGGCCAGAGGTGAGATGCATTCAGCTGTGAGCGGGAGCAGTGCGAGAAGCACACGCCATATGTGCGCGGACATCCAGGTGAGAGGATTTGGTCCAGCAGACGATGGAGGTGTGCAAGCTGCTGCAGCCTCCTCCACACGGGATTCACATCAGAATGGCATCTGGCATCTCCATGGCCTTCAGAAGCATATATCCAAGATACTTGGTGAACTTCGAGGACGGCCTGGAGGTGCCTGGGGACACGAGGAGAGGCCACCTCGCTGCAGGTGTGCCCCTTGGCCCCAACCTGGGTGAAACTTCAGAGGCTGGGCTGCTTTTCCTCGGGCACTTCTTCCCTCTCCTGTCCCCTCCATCTCTTCTTCCATGTTTGTAGGGTAGAGGGACAGTTCTGGTAAAGTCCTTGGTCTTCCAAGTCTTGTAATCAACTGGATGCTCCAGAAAGGTGTGTCACAGTTACTTTTGCATTCTCCCTACACAGAAATGGGGCCGTGCATGCTCCAGTTTGAGAAGTGTGTAGTGATGTAGTACTTGGAGTTAATCAGAACGACAAAGTGGAAAAATGACTTAGAATTATTATGGTAACTCTCAGCAGCAATGAATGTGGTTCTGAAGGGAAAAGGCTGGGAGCCATGGTGCAGGGCAGAAAGGGAGAAACTGTGTACTAACGTTACCTAACATTTCCAGAAGGACCGAGGGAAACTTCCGATCCTGTGGCCTTTATTATCTACAACCAAGAGGTCCATGATAGGGGAACCAAGCCCCGTGAGCCAGCCTGTGTGGGGAGCCAGAGAAGTGGCACGGGTGTGGGCCCAAAAAGCAGCCTCAGGTCACTTCCAGGTACAGCTGAGTTTTCTGACTATTATGCATGAGTTGGGCCTGTCCCCTGGGATGATTTCTCCTTTTTATGACAGTGGCACAGAGCAGTCCCGCTGAGAGTCGTGACCGAGGTGCGGGCTGTTCAGCCTGCTCAAGGTTCCAGAGGAGCTCACGGGAAGCCAGACATCCTGGGGGGTCCAGAGGAGGATTCATCTGTCAGAGAGCTTCTGCCTGGCCTCCTAAGACGCTGAGGATGTCCAGGAGGCCGCTGGCTGCTGCTTGCAAGGCGGGTGGCACTGTGTGCAGAGTCTTTCCACATTCTCACGAGACGGCCCCAGCACGGTCCCAGCATCTGAGCGGGCAGAGAAGATTTTCCTTCGTCCATAGAGAGCAGGGCCAGGGGAAGTAAGAAGAGGGCTGGGGATGGGCTGGGGGTCTTGTCGCTCCCCCTGCATGTCCCCCGTTTTGGTTTCCTTTACGCCAAACAGCCCAATGTGTGATCCACCAGTGTTGCTCTGCTTGAAATCCGCCCAGGGCTCTCATTCCCTTCAGGGCAAGTCCCAGTGCCTGAGTGGGCTTTCGGGACCCTCTGTGACCTGTCCCCCTGCAGACCTTTTCGCCACCACCCCCTCCTTGCACTTTACTCACACTGAATTGTTCAGTTTCCCACAGACACTCTTGCCCACGAGGTTCACTCTCTGTGAAGCCCACATGCTGGGCACTTGACCAAACCCTGTCGGGCTCCCCGAGGTGAATCAGACACGGATCCTGCCCAAAGAGCACGGTCCAGCTGGGAAGACAAGATGGGGACTTCCCCATCGTACAGTCACCTGTTCACAGGTACAAAGGAAGGACATGCCCAGCACAGCACACGCTCGCTGCTGCTGGCCGTGTCAGGACAGCATCTTAGGGAAGTGGTGTCTAGCAGGGTCCCGAGACACAGCTCTGACCACAGGAAATGGAGCAGAGGCCTTCCAGACAGGAGCTAGAGTGTCAGGAGCATACAAGACAGAGGTGGGGTGTGAGGCTGGGGAGTGGGGCGTTGGGCCAGCACCCCTTGTTTCTGGGACCACTCCCCACTGGTGCATTTCTCGCTGGGTCTCCAAGCTTAAATATCCCCCAGCTCACGGCCTGGAAGAGCAGTCAGCTCTGATAACAGAAGGCTCTGCTGACGAGGCTTTCTCCTCCTCTTCTGTGAGCCTGGGCCCTGGCTGGCTGGGGCCGCGGCTGCCTCCGAGCTCCCTCATTAGTCCAAGTTCAGTTCCACAGCAAGGGCTTTGGGTTTTGTTCCAAGGAGCAGGGGGTCCAGGCGCAGGGAGCGACGTGATGGGCTTCCGTTGGAGAAGACACTGCTGGCTGCTCATGCACCGTGGGCTCTGTAGGAGAGAACCTCAGAGTTGGTAATGGAGCCCCAGCAGCGATTTGCCAGCAAATCTAATGAAAAGCACCCACCGGCCCATGATTTTCAGCTGGTTCCTGAATTATGAGTGACTTAATGCAATTTGTCTGATGGACAATTTTTCATAAAATGCGAACTCAGAGTAGGGAGTGGTGGGGTGGTGGGAGGAAACATTAAAAGGGGTGTGGCAGAGAGGTCCAGGTGGCTTCCAATGGCATCGTCCACTTCTCAGAGCAACCAAACACCTGACTTTTAACTGGGTGTGTGGTCACCCATGACTACAGAGTTCCCAGCCTCCTCTGCAGCTAGGCTGCGCATGGAGCCAAGCTCTCCCTCCAGGATGGGAAGGGAAGCGATTTGTGCGGTTTCTAGGATATTTCCTAGGAGAGAAGCATGTCCTTCCTTCTGCTTCTCCCTCTGTCCTTGCTCCCTCTGTCCTGCTCCACACTGATGAGGGCAGCTCCTCTGGGGTGACGGCAACAGGGAGAGGAGCCTCCCAGAGCAGCCCTGCCGGACCAGCCCTGGACTGTCTGTCTCCAGAGTGAGCGCAGGAGAGATGCCAGCTTCTGTGCGCCACTCTCCTGTGGGCGCCTTTGTTACAGCAGCTGAACCTTGTCCTGACCAGGACAACAGTCTCAGAGAGGACTTTCTGTGTGGTTCCCTTGGGTCAGGCTGCTCCCAGGGCCACAGCTGTCTGAAATTTTCAGCCCCCCTTTCCATGAGGTGACAGCCAAGCTCAGCTCCAACCCACTCCCCTCTCTGGGCGCTTCTCTGGAAATCTCATGCCTCTAGGTTGATGCTCCTAAGTCTGGGGCTGGTATCTCCCAGGGCATCCTCTTGTTCTGTCCTCCCGCGCTGTGCACCCTCACTGCTCCCAAAGATGCCCCTTGTTCTGAAGTAGGCTGGGCTGACTCCCTGCTAATGTCTGTGGATTCTCATGAAATAACTCAGGGAACAGGCCGTCTCACGCGTGATGTAACTTGATTATTGCTAGAAAGATGAGTTTGGAAGTGACGAGCTCCCTGCTAAACTGACAAGATTAAAAGGTGAATTTGAAAAACCAGCCAAATGCCAGTCACAGTATGAGGGCGGAGACTCGGACTCCGTCACGCTTGGCCTGAGCCCTCCGTCTGGGGACACAGATATTCAGGGCTTCCCAGGGGTCTGGCCTTGTCCGTGTAATTTCTGATATGCCCTCCACTCTTATGGAGGCTCCAATTTCGTGGGGAAAAGGAAGTTCAGTGTATATTAAAATATTAAACTTGTTGAAGATGTTGTAAAAGGGTAGATCATTCATTTATTCTTCATTTGTTTACACTAAGTGCAAAGTGTCCTGAGGGCTGGTCCAAGACAGAAAGTATTAATGAAAAATTTGAGGTTCAGTAAGGCCAACAGATCAGGAGATGATGCCATTGACAAGATAGTCTGTTACTCACAGTTCCCAGAGGAGGGGGCATGCCACACAGGGCCACACAGGGCCTCACGGGGAAGCACCAGGGTGGTCAGGAGGCAGAGGGAGTAGGGGACCTGTGGCAGGAGACTTTACTGTGGTTTCTGCAGAAAGGAACAGTGGGGCAGGGTGAGCAGGCTTAGGACTGGCTGGCCTGAATAATTTCACAGGCTCTGGGGCGTAGGGGCTGTCCCAGTTGTCTGGTACCTGCCCTGGGTGATAAGAGCAGTGGATAGTGGCCCAGAATATGCGTGTCCGGTAGAGGAGGTGGTTGGGGTGTGGATGGACACTGGATTGGTTGGTTTGTATTGGAAAAGTGGGTTGGTTTGTATTGGAAAGGAGGGCTCTTCCTGAGGGTGGGGTGAGGGGGCACCGAGGCGGGCAGGAGGCTGAGTGGAAGGGAGTCAGAACAAGGCATGTCCCACCTCCGCACGCAGGACAGGTGTTAAGGCATCAGTTTTACAGAAGCTAGAAACATGGTCCAGACAAGGGCTCAGCTCAAATGTCACCTCCTCAAAGGAGCCTTCCCTGCCTGCTCCATCTACAGTGACAGCCTCCCCAACCCGGTCTCCCTACCGTCACCCGCCTCATTCCTCTCACAGCATTCGGGGCCTGACCCCTGGCTCAGCACCCCACCCTGACTGTGCCCACCCAGAAGGAAAGTCCTCACAGGAGCCCCCAGGCCCTGCACCATCCGGGGCCCTCATCCTCACTCCTCTCCTCCCACCTCTGTGCCCCAACCCGCGCCCTCCTGACCCCTGAGCCTCGCTTCTCCTCTGTGGCACTTCTGCCTTCTTACCTGCTGTGCTCTCCTCACTCTTTGTTTCCCTCTGCGATGTCAGCTCCATGGGGGCAGCAGAGTTTATTTTCTCGTCTCCTTCACTGACGTCGTGCCTGCGGCCTAAGTCGGGGCAGGGCACAGAGCGGGGCTCCATAAACAGCGAGTGAGCCAGTAACACTGAGAACTCCCAGAAATGTGCTTGCTTGTGGTCGGCGGTGTTCACTTGCCCAGCGCACACCACTGAGGCCCTACTGCCTGTGGGCCAGCTCCAGACACCGGGCACAGCAGAGTGAAGCACACAGAGGTCGCCATTCTCGTACAGCTGACAGCCTAGTGGGGGAGACAGAGAAAAAAATAGGTAAAATATACACAAAGTCAGGCGGTGATATGTACCATGGAGAAAAATTAAGTCAGGAAGGACGTTTGAGCAAATTCCCAAAGATGTTTAGGGAGCAAGCAATGCAGAGGGTAGAGTGTTCCAGGCTGCGAGACCAGCAAGTGCAAAGGCCCTGAGGCCACAGTGGGCTGCATGTTTGAGAGTCTTAGTTATTAGTGTGGATTCTTAGTTTTATCTCAAGTCTGTATCTTGCTTTTGTTTATAATCCTTGCTTTCAGCTTCCTACTAATTAACCTGGGTCCAGCAAATTCTATCCTGTTCCATGATTTAAAGTAGAAACAAGTGAATTTGGGTTAAGTCAGTATGCGTTTATTGAATGGCCTCCCTGGGCCCAGCTATGTCAGGCACCAGGAGGCTGTGAAATCAACACAGCAGTCTCCACCTTGATGACCCCAGTTAGTGAATGTCCTCAATGTCCTCCAGCCCCTTCCACTGCCCCTCGGCCCCATCTCATCTGGCTCTCAAACTCTGACCCTGACCATCTGTGGTGCCTTTACCCCCACGTCCAGCTCCTCCTAGACTTCTCTGTCTGGGTGTCCCCTGAGCTTCTCCAAGTCAGTTTGGCCCAGGTGGAGTTGAGTCCTTGCCCCACGACTCCCTTTTCTCCATGAAGCCCCGCTGGGTGAGGGAACCTCCGCCAGTGGGATCCTCCGCCCCCGAGCATGGCTCCTCCCCACCCCATCTGCCAATGCCCCCCGGCCCCTGGATCCACCGCCTCGGGACCCCGTGACCCTCTCCCTCCTGTCCTCAGCCTGGGGCTGCACACTGACCTCCCCCTCTTCACAAACCCCCAAGAGGCTGGTGCCCTTACACACAGGGACATGGAGGTGACACACGCTGGTGTGGCTGGGAATGACGAGCAGTATCCCAGAGCAGAGGGCAGGCCAGGGCTCCCGGGCGGCCAGAGCACGGCTATTGTGGCAGCAAGATGGCCATAACGGGGGTGAGTCGGGCACTGCATGGCAGCCCCTCCTCACGTTCCCCAGGAGGCCCTGTGTTTCATGCCTTTGCTTGGGTGGGCTGCCCCTCCTTGCTGTCTGTTAGGCGGATGCCAATTCGTTCATTCACTCACTAATTCACTCGTCATGTGTTTGGTTCCTTCTTGGTGCCAGGCCCTAGCTAGATGACGGCTGGTCCTTGGAGACCCAGCTCAGACGTCACCTCCTCCATAAAGCTGTTCCTGATCCCCAGCCCCTCCTACGGCCCCCTGAGGCCTCACCTGGACCCCCCCGGCGCTATCGTCACACTCTGATGACCTCTCCAGCCTGTGAGCTCTGGGAGGGCTCTGGGCCAGATGCAGAAATGGGCTCAGAAATGTGACGATGGCTAAAACCCTGAATAGACGAAAGGATTACCCACGGGCCACATGGGGGTCAAGTTCACCCCCTCCCTCCCGCTCCGGGACCAGGGCTCTTTCATTATTGGGAACCTGAGCAACCTTCGCTCGCCATCTGCTCATTTAGACCATTAACAGTCTGGATTTTTTTTTCAATTTAAATTTTTTTTAAACTTTGAAGACATGTCATGAGGGTATCCCTCAGTAATGAGAAACTTAATTATCACTTCAAGGGAGGGAAGGTGTCTGTGGTGTCTGAGCCAAGACGGGACAATGTGGAAAGTGCAGGACGATGAGGAGGAGCCGGCTCAGGGGCTGGGCCTCGGGGCAGCAGGAGGAGGGGAGACAGAGAGATGGATGGAGGCAGAGCTGCCAGGGTCAGGGGCAAGCCGGGGAGGAGGGGAAGTCCAGGGGCCTCCTCCCGCGTGAGCAGTGGCTTCCATTGTCCCCCTCTGTCACACACAAGCCGTGTTTCTCATGCTGCAGCACCTCCCGGCCTTTGCACGAGCTGGTCCTCCAGCAGGAGCGCCTTTCCTCTGCTCTCCAGCAGAGGGACAGCAGTGCCCTCACCCTGCGAGACTCTGCCCTTCTGGGCATCTGTTCCGCAGCCTGCCCGTCCAGTACCCTCGCCCCCACCATGACACACACACCCTGCTCTGTGCTGAGTTCACTTGGCTGTCATTGCCTGAGGCTGGCCTGTCTGCTTGCGTGACAGACAGGCAGCCCTAGCTTCTAAACATTCTCAGTCTGTGTGACCTTGGACAAGTCCTTTGCCCCTTTGGAGGCTCAGCTTCTCACTATAATTGGTCTGGCAGTGGCCACCTCACAGTGGCGCTGTGCTGTCTGAGCTGCTGGAGATGGAGTGTTGGACGGGTGCCTGTTGCTGGTGCCCTTGGTGCTGACCCCGGGGTCACGGCCCCTGGCACTCCTGCGGTTTGCAGAATGCCTGGCTGCAGTGATGCACGAGGGAGCGGGAGACAGGTAGGAGGTTAGCGTGCAGCTTTGGAGTCAGAAGACATAGCGGTCCTTGAGGACACTTCCCAGGGACCCTGGTCCCGGACCTTACCCACCTGCACCCCTTCTCAGCTACCTTCGGGGGGCACACGATAAACCCCTTACTTTGAGGGCTACATTCCCAGTCCATCTAACCCGCCTGCCCAGGCTGGACACGCTGTGGTCCTCATGTGCCAGGTAAAGAAGTAAAGGTCCACAGGGCCCCTGCATACCTGCAGTTTCCCGTCTGTGGCTGTGCTCACTCTCTGCTCAGCATCTCTCAGTAGCTCCCTATTGCCCAGGGCCCGCCTTGCTCCAGGCATCTAACGGAATATGAGGCCCTGCCCACCTTGCCCCACCCCTGCTGTGCTCATGCACACCACCAGTAGCTACCGCGCCTCTGCACCTCTGCGTGGTATGCTGTTCCTCCTGCTCTTCTGTTCCCTTGTCTTGGAAACCGCAGCTCCCTCGTCCATTTCTCCTTTGTGGCAGCATCGAGTTGGTTGCTCACACAGCAGCCTTTGCCCACCTCACCCTGCCTTCCTCCTGGGGATGCTCATTTTGGAGGAATCATGACTGGTCCAAGCCAGTCATGGCAACTGCTCCCCTTCCCCTCCCCCACCTCTGGTGATTGGTTGGGACAGGGACTTGTTCTGGCCAATGAGATCTTAGAGGAAGTCTATGGGGGCTTCTGTGAGAGATTTTCCTTCCTGAAAAGAAAGAGATGGGCAATGAGGAAGGTGCCCTCTTGCTTCTGGCTTGAGCACTAACTATGCAGATGTGATGGCTGGAGTGGAGGCAACCACACTGCAATCACGAGGGAGTGACACTAACATTCTGTTAATGGTGGAGTAGAGAGGTGGGTGGCATCTGAGTCACCGATGACGTTATTGGGCCACCAGACCACCTCTGGACTTCCCATCTCTCACATCATCTTTAAACATTAAACATTAGATGCCTTTGTAGTTTAAGCCACTCTTAGTAAAGTTTTCTGTTACTTCAGCCAAACATATCTAACTGGTACAGCCTTCGAGTCTCAGTGAAAAATTCCCTATCCTTAACTAGTTCCCCAGCAGGCATGGGTCTCTGCCCCGACCCCCACCCTTCACCCATGAAAACAGCCCGTGAGCTCTGGTTCTCTGTCTGCCTGGCTGGCTTGTCCATATTTGGCTTGTGAACACCTCTGGGGCCGGCTTCTGCCCTTGCTTCTCTGTGCACCCTGAGCCTGCACACAGTGGGTCCTCAGACACTGCAGGGACCTCGCCCCCCCACCCTCCAGCATGGCCAGAAGGCCCCAGCCAGCAAGAAGCCTTTGGGATCACTTTGGCCTGAGCACTGCTTCCGGCCCTCGGGGCCTCCACAGCCCCTTCAGCTGGAGTGTGAGGTCCCTTGTGAACAGCGCTTCCCAGTGGGCAGCTCTTGCCTCACAGGGGCCCCAAGTGCGGAGCTGTTGATGGACCGTCTGCCTGGTCTCTCCCGCGACAGCCCCGGAGGCCATGATGCAAAGAAAGGAGGACCCGAGCTGCGTTTCAGGGAGATGTGGAAAGGGCGGTGATGGACGCATCCTGTTCCAAAGTGAGCGAGGTTCTCTGCGTATTCTGGAAAAGATCTCTGGTGTGCAAGTAGGGAATAGGACCCCCAAGGCCCAAAGGAAGGAGGTGTCCCCAAGGACGGGGGCGGGTGAAGGCTCCTGGCCTCCCCTGCAGCAGCTCCAGACACTGGCCGTTGTGGTCCCGTGAGCATGATTCTGCCAAGCAAAGCGAGAGAAAGGGATGCGGGTGTGGGGGAGCTGGGAGGGCTTGTGGTGCCGGTGAGCCAAGGTTCCCTTCCTCCCTTCAGTGCGAACTGCCTGACGGGCACGGGGCAGCCACCAGGTCTCAGGCACTCACGGTACGCCACACGTGGCACTGGGTACCTTGGCCGCACTTCCTCACTAGAGTCAGTTACCTCCCTTTTCTGAGCCTCACTCTTGTCCTCTAAAATGAGGATTAATTTGGGCAACGTGAGTGGCCCAGCCTGCAGCAGGCCCCCAACAGATATTGCTCGAGTCCATTTGGATCTCCAGGTTAGAGTGGAGTCTTGCAGTATTATCTGGAAGTTCTTCCTTGAAGCTAGCCTAAATCCTACATACTGTTGCTGTTCCAGAGTGCTCCGTTTAGCCAGCTGGAAGAAACAGATTTTTTTTTTCTTTTTTTTTTTTTTTGAGGAAGATTGGCACTGAGCTAACATCTGTGCCAATCTGCCTCGGTTTTGTAGGTGAGACGCTGCCACAGCGTGGCTTGATGAGCGGTGTGTAGGTCCACATCAGGGATCCAAACCCACAAACCCTGGACCACTGAAGCAGAGCGCACAAATTTAACTGCTATGCCACTCAGCCGGCCCCCAGAATATTTTTAATAGACAGTGACAGAAAACCCAAAGTGGCTTGAACAAGCAAACAGCAAAGCAGGAGAGAATGATTTATGTAACTAAGAAGTCTAAAGGCAGACAGCTTCAGGCAAGGCTGTACCTGGGTGCTTGATGCCGTCAGCAGGAATCGGCTCTCCCAGCCTCTTGGCTTGGCTTCCTCCCCTCTGTACTGGTGTCCTTCTCAAGTGGTTTTTCCGTTGATGAAAGAAGATGGCCACCACCGGTCACAGGCCTCAACAGCCCAACGGAAATAGAACTTCTCTTCCCCAGGATTCCAAACCTAAGTGCTCCCTGTTCCCCAGGTGGGGGATGGTGTGGTGCCTGGGAGAGCAGGGCCAAGGGTCCAGCCACCATGCTCCTCTCTACCTGATTTCCTGGGATGAGCCTACTCCCATGGGCTTCCCGCTCCCCACTGATTTCTCCTTACAAAGGATTCACGGCCGCGCTTCTTCCCTCCCTCGCCTCCTTTCCAAGCCCCGCTTCACTGGTAGCAAAGAGGAGCAGGACTTCCTGTTGGAAGACAGGATTTGGGGTCCACTCCCAGCTTCACGGTCTGCTTTTTGTGTCCCATAATAATCACTTATTCAGTCCACAAATGTCTGCTGAGCACCTACTGTGTGCTACTCTGAGTTTCCAAGGCTGTTAGTTGTTCCAGGCAGGGGCCATCGCCCAGGAGCCTTCCGAAAGAAATGAGTTCTGTCCAAAAGCTAGCTTCCATTCCCTCTCTGCCCCTCACTGTGTGACCTGAGGGAATTCCTTCCCCTCTCTGGGCTTCTGCTTTCCCATCTGCAAAGCAAAGTGTTGGGGAAAATGAGGTCTTGGAGCCCCCTTAGCTCTGACATTCTGTGGGTCAGTCCTACAGCGTGTCTCCAGCTGTGAGGCACCCCATGTGCGTCACGGACAGTGACCGCGATGCTCCAGAGGCGGGCTGGGCTGAGAGGAGGCCACAGTCACACTGTTGCGCGTCTGACCCCTTCCCCTTTGGGCTGTCGGGGGCACCCAGGGCAGAGGAGGATCCTGGGCTTTCTGAGCCTGTGCAGACCCTGGGCTCCGAGTTTCTGTGAGCTGCCCAGTGCTGCTGCTGCGACAGAAAATCTCTTTTGGGGTGTTTGTGACTTCCAAGCCTGCCCACCACGGATGGTCAAGCTGTGGACTCTGAAAGGGAAATGCAGGGAGGCCACATGGCGGGGAGGAGAGGATGACATAGAGGTCCCACAGAGCCCGTCCATCCTCTGCCTCCCTCTCCTTCCCCCTCCCTCCCGGCCCACCCTCTCCTCCTCTGTCGCAGCTGAAATTGGCCATCTCCCTGGAGGAACTGAGACCCTGAGGTGTTGGTGGAGGGGGGAGGGTCCCTCTGAGCATGCCCAGTGGGGAGGACGTCCTTTTTCTTCTGGTTGAGTCTAGTTTCTCTTCATTCTTTGAACATCTGGGGACATGAGTGAATTCCCCTGGTCACTCTGTCACTCATTTGTCAGTTCACTCAGCACTCATTGCCTTCTTAATCCATTCATTCCCTCCTTTATTTAGCTCATTTTTTCTTTTTTTTTAAGCAAGAGGGAGAGACTCATTAGGAGAACACAAGGAACCCCAGAATAAGCAGAAAACGGGCTAACTGGTCTTCCCGAAAGACCAGAGCCCGCAGCTGGTAAGGCATGAGAAACCAAGCCTGCTCCGTTCCTTCCCCCACCCTGGGGCCACGTAGCCACTCGTCTCTGCTTCCCTTCGCACATCACTCCAACCTCCTCTCTTTTTAATCTGTTGGTTTCTCTCCATTTCCTCTGCCATGACCCTGGTCTAAAGGTCTGTCCTTTTTTTGACCTGGAAAATTGAAATGGCCTCCGAATTTTCCTCCCCAAATCCACTCTTGTCCATTTCCAATCTGTTGTTCTCCTCGCTATGGCCAGAGTGACTTGCTACAAATGGAGAATGTATTCAGTGGTTGTCCTTGCTCCTACGATAGTCACCAGAATCGTAAGCGTGGTGTGGAACTGGACGACGGCTCGCCCACCCTCGGTGCCCCTGTGGCGGCCCCTGCATGCCGGAGGATCAGGCGGCCCTGCTCCTTGTTGCTCTCGGGCACGGCAAACGGGCTGAGGAACAGCGAAGAGCCTGTGTGCGCTTTACCACTTCTTCTCCTTCTCCCGGGGCAATGGCGATGTTGCAGACAGGCTGCCCCACAGCCTGAGTCCAGAGGAAAGGCGACAAGCAGCAGAGCCACGTGGACGCAGAGCACGAGAGATAGACAGACCTGATTGGGGGCCCGGAGATCTGGGGACTCATTTGTTGTCGGCATAACCCAGCCTCCCCTCACTGGTCCCCGCGGTCCACGAGCTCCCGATCACTGCCCCGTCTCTCTGCTGCAGCCTTCAGTGCTCACACAAGCCTCTCCCTCCCACCTTAGATCGTGGTCTGTTCTCTCTCCTTGGGAAGTTCTTTCTACTCTTTTCTGCCCAGTTTATATTTACTCACCAGTGAGATCTTGGCTTAAATGCAAGGTGCTCAGGAAAGGATCGCCTGATCTGTGTGCAAAGTACCCTGAATTTACCTTCTTAGTCATTATATCTCTTTCACTGAGCTATAAATTCCATGAAGATACAGGCCAGGTATTTAGCTCATGCTTTTTTTGAGGCCCTGCTCCATCCTCACTATGTGCCAGGGCCCGTGCTGAGGAGCTGGAGGTAACGGGGGTGAATCAGCCGTAAGCCCTGCTCCCACACACCCACCCCGGGGCAGGGGAGACAGACCTGCAAGCAGCAGCGTTCAAACCCACTGTGATCATTCAAGCTGGTATATAAGAGTATAATAAAAGTATATGAAAGAGGCCAGAGGGAAGGCAAGGGAGACTGCCTGGAGGAGGAGACATCAGAGTGGATTTGAGGAGGCGTTGGAGTTGTCCGGGTGGGGAACTTGCTGGGGGAGCCTGGTAGGAGGTTCTAGAGCCAGAAGCAGTGTGCCCAAAGTTTCTAGGGCTTGAAAGAGGATGAGCCAGGAGGAGCCAGGACCAGAAGTGAACACCTGGCATCTGTATCCCCCTGGACACAAGTGTTCTTGTTTCCACGCCTTTGAAAGTGACAAGTGGCATGCGGTGATTGCTCCTCGGAGTCCACAGTGATGATAACAGCAGGTTCCAGACCCTGCCACACAATGGGCGTCAGTGGTAGACTCTGATTGGGAGTCCGGTGGGCCACATGTGGGCGAGTGCTGGTGCTTTGTTCCAGGACAAAGCAGCCAGAGACACCTTCGTCTCCACTCTGGAGACATCAAGATGCCCTAAGCTCCTGTCCTTGTCTTCTAAGAACCTGCCACAGTTCTACTAGTAAATCAAGACTTCCTGAGCACACAGCCCCAGCAGACATTTAAAATTTGCACAAGATGAATAAAATGGAGGAGAGAGGAATCACCGAAAATGCCATGTCACTGGATAAAATATCTCTTGATATGATCTCGTTGCTGAAATAATCTGCAGGAGCAGGACACTCGGGGACTCGGGACTGTGGTCACTCAGTGGTCCCCCGCCTGGGGGACAGGAGGCACGTCTACGTGGGACCAGGGTTTCAGGGCCCTGATGGAAAAACTTCCTGGGGTTCCCAGGAAGTGGGCAGGTGGGAAGTGATGCTAAAAAGTCACTCCCCTTTGTGGCCCTGGCTTTCTTGTTGTCATCATGGGAGTGAAGTGTGGCCCTCACAGCCGACTCCTCTGGCTGTGATGCAGATGCGACAGGCAGAGAGTGTTTGGAAAAGTCCACTGATCCCGAGGAATTGTTGTTGTTCCCGATGGCGTTATTATTTTCATGCCAGTTGTGAGGCGGTCTCTGAGGGGCTCCCTGAAGTAGGGGACAGACACCCACAGAGCCTGGCCCCAGACACAAGTTCTCCGTGAGAAAGCTGAACCGTGGCGTGGCCGTCTACAGGAGGGGACGCTGACCCTGCTGGGGAGGAAGGAGCTGGGGAAGTGTGACCACGGAGGGGTCCTATGAGCTGAGGCCTGGAGGGGAGGGAAGATGGGGCCTCCAAAGGCCTGTAGGCCCCAGGAGGCAAGGGGGTGGGAAGAATGCCGTTCTTCTGCGGGGGAGGCTGGTTGATAAGGCACAGTGGGCATTCCAGGTGCCCTCTGGGGTAGAGGGGCACGATGAGCTCCCACCTGGCCCTCTGTGCCAGTTGACCTGTTGTCAAGTCTGCAAAGCGCCCCAGCATAGGGTAGACCTGAGCCTGCCCACCCAACAGGTGGGAGCACGGAGGCCTGGAGGGATGGTGGGTGGGCAGCAGGGGGCTCCTGGAGACTGGAGGCCACGGGGGTGGGTGCTGTAGAAGCTGAGGTTCCACCTGCCAGGGTCTGGCCAGGGCCAGCCCCAGAGCCAGCGGCTGCTCCTTGAGAGGCACTGCCTTTCAGAGTGCTGGCGCCTGCCGGCCTGGCTCCAAAACTCCCAGGCCAGAGCTGGATGGACTCTCCAGGCTCAGCAGGGAAGTATCACTGAGTGTGCCATCTCTGACCCACCATCCCTGGGAGCCTGCTGTGCCAAGCTGAGAATGAGTCCAAAGCTGTATATGTGCTCAGCATGAGAGAGTGCTGCAATCCATTAGTAATGTCTGCAATAGGAGGGGGAGAACTCTGCCACACATGCCAGCCATTTGTCATTCCTGGTAATAATAAAACTGAGGCCCAGGGGAAGGAACGCCCTCATCCAGTTTCTGGTCCTCTTCTGCCTCCTGGTCTGACCTCCCTACAGACCTCTGGGTACCCTGGGTGACACAAAGTGAAAACAGTGAGCTGTGTGACAGGGACATCACACTGGATCTGTCTGGATCCACACAGTGTTCCTCCTCTTTCTTCTCCTCTGCCTGTATCTTTTTGATATTTAATGTGTTTTTTACATTATGAAGGATAAGAAAATTATGAGCATCTGTGAACACACCACTCGCTCCAGAACTGGAACCTTCTCAATAACCTGAATCTGTGTGTTTGCATCCTGTCCTGCCCTGGAGGTCACCACTGTCCCAAATGTTGTGTTTGTTTATCATTCTCTTGCTCACAGGTTTACTACGTAATTCCAAGCAATATTTTGTTTTGTTTGTTCTTGAGCTTTATAAAAACGGTGTACTAAGTATGGACTTCTAAGATTTGCATTTTTCACTCAACATTTTACTATTTCTAAGCTTTATCCATGCTGTCGTGTATAGCTGTAGTTTATTTTTACTGGTGTGAAA